CGTACGAACTCTTTGTATGAACAAAAGTAAGAGAAATTTAGGATAAGAATACGAACATGTTCTTGCATGAGGCCCACTGTGAGTTAATGTGAGGCTGACCATCTCTTGTGGCTTTGGGATGGAAACTCCACAGAAGAACTGGTTGTTGCTGAAGACCTGCTGGTGTCGAGGGATCAGATCTCCTGCAGGAGGGAAAAAGAGAGAGAGAAAAACATCAGTGTTGCCAAACRTTTGTGAGTCAGTTTTCAGACAATCTTTGTCTTTTATTCTGTTCAGTTTGAAATGAAACTACTTCACAACAACTGTTCTCTTTGAAATTTTCTTCAGCATACTTGCTTTTTTATCTATTTGTCCTACTTTTAGCTGCTTTTTTAAGATTTTAGCTATTATTTTGCTACATTTAGTAAGAATTTAGCTACTTTCAGCATTTAGCTCAGGCTTTTCAGCTTTTAGCTTTGACCTTGAATTTTGCTACATTTACCTTTTAGCTAGCATTTTGCTACAGTCGGTTAGTTTTTTCCTGATTTTAACTTGCATTTTTCAGTTTTTTCAATTTTAGCTAGTGTTATTCTTTGGCCCCAGCAGCAGAATGATCCTACCGAGAGTCTTTCTGATCAGGTACAGCTGGTCCATGTCCGACTTCCCAGGCCACAGAGGAACTCCTGAGAGCAGCTCAGCAAACACACATCCGATCGCCCAAACATCAACCGGGGGGCCGTACTGGGTATCCCCCACCAGCAGCTCGGGGGCCCGATACCAGCGAGTCGCCACGTAGTCAGTGTAGTAGTCAGCAGGGCCCGCTGAAGGTCGACAAAACAAAAGATGTATCTGTATTACACAAAGAAAGACTGAAGTGCTGAAAACAAAGCTGTTTATTCTATTTAAAGTTTTTTTAACATCAGAGAAGAGATCTTGACCTCAGCATTACCGTTCTCTGGCCTTACATTTATTTATTTTGATCAGATCACATTGTAAGAAAATTATAATCAACAACTGGTAGTAATAACTGGACAGAAAACCTAATTGATTCTCTTCTAAATATCTTTATTCTTCAGATCTGTAACTCTCTCTCTCTCTTTCAGGGATAAAGATCTTTTCATCCTCGATAGAGAGGAGCGTTGGTTTGAGAGAGGAGTAAAGGAAGACATTTTTGGGAAGAGAAACCATCTATTGTCAAACGGGTGGAGCTCTCTGAATCCAGTTGTCCGCCTCTTCCAGTGCTGTTATTGTGAGTATGACTCAGGGAAAATCAGAGCCCCTGATGATCTGAGATTTGGCTGATGATGCTGACTGTCTGCACCGATGAGCCAAACTATAAAACTTACAGAAAGTGTTCATTCCCGTCAGTGGTGGACTAATGGAGTACATTTACTTGAGTACTGTACCTAAGTACATTTTTTGAGTATCTTTACTTGAGTAATTATTTTTTGGGAACTTAAGACTTTCACTTCACTACATTTCAAAGATGAATGTTGTTCTTTTTACTCCACTACATTTCTAGGAAGCTTTTAGTTGTTGCTTTTGGTTCAGCACAGCTTTGTACTGTTGCTGTTTTTCTTTCCTGAAATGAAAGCAGTCAAGTGATTTACAAACTACTTCTCCAACAGATCACATTGGGCCTCATGCAAGAACATGTTCGTATTCTTATCCTAAATTTCTCTTACTTTTGTTCGTACAAAGGGTTCGTACGAACATGTCACGTCAGA